ATCCGAGAATAGGATCCTAACCGTATCTCTCGCTCACTGATATGCACTCTCGCACAACAGGAAGAATCAAATAATGGGTATATTATTCTATGAAATGAATAAAGAGAACATGTGTAAGATGAGGGCCTAACCCCTCTCACCAGGTGTTGACACCGGTCTATTCAAAGTATATGATTTTTCTGTCTAATCACAGTATAATGCGCTATTCCTTTTATACCCATACTTCCCGCCTTTTTCTAACTGCTAAGGCACTTTCTAACCCCTAACATTACCCCATCTCGAAGATCAACCTTGTCCCCAAGGTTGAATTTCGGAAACTGCTCTTGGATAGTAATTTTGTCTTCCCATGTCGCTCCCTCCACCCCTCCTTCATTCCATTCTATCAGCACTTGCTCTCTTATCTCCTCTTTTAGCTGCTGTTGTCTTCTATTCAAAATACGTATTGGCCAACAAGTCGGTCCCTCCATATGCATATCAGCTGGTAGCTCCCTCTCACGCCTTGGAGGTAAACCTTGGGGCTCTTGAAACACCTGCTGATATTTTTCCAGCACCTTCTCTAGCTCACTCCCCTGTTCCTTCATCAGCTCTTGTTTCTTCCCTTCTTCGCCAAGTATTTCCATTTGTGTTAACCCCCATATCACTGCAATTGTCCTCAGTGATTTTGAGCAGCACTTCTGGTGATATTATTTCCCGAGCCAAAGTCGGGTCCCCTCTGATCGTCACTTCCTGTCCTCCTTGTTGGAATGTCATGGTTAAGTTGCCCTAGTTAGTCACTACTTCCCCCAACTTAGCCAACCATTCCACCCCTAGGATCAAGTCTACACCTCCTGAATCGAAGACATAATATTGCTCTGTAACTTCAATTGCTCCCATCTGTAATACTACCCCTCTACAACAGCCTTGGGTCTGTTTCCTCTGTCCATCCCCCAAACAGACTGGATGAGTCTGGCCTTTATCCACCTCCAATTGAAGCTCTTCAACCAACACTTTGGATATAAAGTTGTGGCTAGCGCCACTGTCAACCATGATCAACACCACCCTGTCTCCCACATTCCCTTGAAGTTTCATGGTTCTCGGTTGGGTCAAACCTCCTACAGACAAGAAAGATAACTCTAGCCGCTTGTACTCCACCTCTACCTCTGTTTCTCCAGGGTCTTCCTCCTCATCCTCACCCAAAATCATCACCCTCAAGCTGCGTTTCGGACAATGGTGACCAAGGCCAAACTGCCCCCACACCTGAAACAACGTCCTTCTTCCCGTCTCTTGAGATACTCATGATAGGGAAGGTTTCACACTCCTTTTCCCATGGTGTTGTTCCCCGTAGCACTCGCACCCCTCCCCGCAACATTCCCTGAGTTGCCTTCTCTTCCCCTAGAACCTAAGCTCTCCGTGCTGGCTGTCCGCCCCTCCTGATTGCGCATCGGTTCCACTCGGGTTATCGTCCCCGACGTTCGTCCCCCCGATACCTGTGGTCGATTCGCGCCTCCACCCCAGGTCTCCGCCCCTCCCGGTAGGACCTCCACATCTCTCGCGATTCGCATCGCCATCAATAATTCTTGCGGATCATGGGTCGCACTCGACTCCTCATGTCATCCTGTAAACCCC